ATGATACCTATTTTTTCACACTGCTCATTCTTTATAATTGTGGAACTGAGATTTAATTCTGTTAAAGTCATGTTATTGATGAGAACGCCCATTATGTCATCCACTCCACTTAAAAAAAATTTGATGAAATGTCTATTTTTTTCAAAGAAGACTTTGAAATAATTTTAGCTATTAATGTTGCATTATCCGAATCCAAGCAATTATTTTTGATATCTAGAGATTCCAATTTTGATTCGCAAAAACCATCACATAAAAAGCTAAGATTATCGTGGAGTGGAGTATATTATTTGATAAATTTAAAGTTTTCAATGTGAAATTGGTATTGAGTACCTTACTAAATTCTTTTAGGGATTCTACATTAAATCTATTAGAATGGTCGGCTATTGATTCAAGTCCAAGTGAAGTTAGCATGGTGTTGTTACGTAACATCTCTGAAATTGTCTTTAAACCTTTGGAACCAATAACATTATAACCTAAATCTATCTCTTGCAACACTATATTTGAGCTTAGCGAGTTGATAATAGACTTCACTTCCTTTAAGGTAAAATGATTACTTCCAATATTAAGTGAAATAATTGTTTTGTTTTTAATTATTATCTCTGTTATATCTTTGAAATCTGTCGCTGTATTATAAATATTTAATCTTTTTACCATGTTACATGTTAATATTTTATCAAACAATGGTTTGGTTAACAATCCAGAAGACATGTCCAAGATTTCAATATTTGGGCACAGACGTATAAACATCAGGCACATGACTGCAAATATTTCGTACTTATAAGTTTCATCATAACGCTCACTAACATTAAAATATAACCATGATTCAATTCCATCTAATAATTTTGGGTCTATATGATCTATTAAAGAGATATAATCAAACATTTTTTCTCGCATCTGAGGTAAGCATGTTGATAATGATGAACTGTTTATCAATGACCTTTCAGGTTCATCAAGTTCTGATAAAAGTAAATCAACAAGGCTTGTATTGTTAATGCGAGAAGGGGCTAAGTGCCAAAGATGTCTTATGGCATTTTCACTCCAAAGGCGATTCACTAATATGCAAGAATGTAAATCTTTTATATTATTAATTTGTTTGAATATAATATAAAAAATTTCTGTTGGTAACATTTTGATTTTATAAGTTAATTTATTGTTGCGGCTGAAGCTGGAAACGGCTGAAGCTGGAAATTTTAAATATTTTATTATGAAATTTTCAAAATTT